GGTGACCTGATCGATCCACAAGTTCCCCCAGGGCCCCAGCACTCTGCTGTGTGGCAAAGCAGGGTTGAACACACAGCCAGCTTGCAGCATGACCTGTGGCATCAGGTTCAGTGACACTTAATGGCTCAGTCTTCGCAGAGCCAGGTTATCCAGATTACCAAGCTGCCAGCATTGTTCAGCTGATGGCCATGAACCAGCCCCAGAGTTGGAACCCTTCCCTCAGCACCCATTGTTCTTCTTAAGGGCCATACAGAGGAATATGCCTTGTAGTTTACCTGCAACATTAGCAAGCACCTGTAATTTGTGAGGGAGTCCACTCCCCATCTGTGGCTCAGCCACAATCAAGCTTTGCCTCCTGTACCCCTGAGTTTCACCTCATGAGGGGAAGAGGAGGGGCAGGCACTGATCTCTGTGGTGACCAGCAACAAGACCCGAGGGAATGGCCTGAAAATGTCTCAGGGGAAGTTTAGGTTTGATATTAGAAAAAGGTTCTTCCCCCAGAGGGTGGTTGGGTGCTGGAACAGGCTCTTCAGGGAAGTGATCACAGCACTAAACCTGACAGAGTTCAAGAAGCGTTTGGACAACACTGTCAGGCACACACACCTAGTGCGATGGACATAGGTTTAAAATCAGACCACATCTGGTCATGTGGGACTCTGCAAAGAAAAGGAACATTAGCAGAGAGGCAATTTCACCCCTGACGTTTTCGTTTTCTCTGACAATTTGAGTATGTCACTCTGAAACCTTGCTCCTTAACTAAAAACTGGAGAGAGGCCCCAGAGGATAGGAATGGTTACCCTCCACTGACTGAAAGCAGGTGGTGTTCAGTCAGCACTGTTGTTTTTGTCCTCTTGGCTGCTTTGTATCTGGACTGGGCTTGGTTTGATAAGTTTGACCTATAATGTCTTGTTGTAGCATTCATTCAGCAATGCTAGGAAAACTGTGTAGGAAAATTTTCATTTCAGGTGAAGCATTACTTGCTTTAACCAGGAGCAAGACTCATTTCTCACATTTCTTGCACTATTCAAAAGGAGCACAAGTAGGTCCACAGCTTGGCCTGAGCATCTTCAATGAGCAGGAAGCAGGAAATGCAGACATCCTGTTTCTTTACTTGCATAGGAGGGACAGAGACTCATGCTGATATTTACAAGCCATCTTCAGTTCACATGATTGTTTATCCATGCAGGGCTTTGTTGTTAGTGGTAACCTGAGCGAGCAGAAGGTTCATGCCTCTGCATAGCTCCTGTAGTCATGGTTTGGCAGTTTTATAGGAATCTGATAAGAAAGTTCCCTTGAGTCTGGTAAGCAACCTCCATAGGAGAAATTCTTTGTTTCAACTTGCATGCTTCACTGTCCCTTTTGTAAAAATCTGATCCTCACTCTGTTTGGCACTGGAATTGAAGTGTGTGGCATCTAACCAGTTCTCAGATTCTCAATTAAACAAACAATAAGTAGTGTGATAAATACCAACTTTTTTTCTCTGAATAAAAAAGTTTGTTCCATGAAGGAGCTTAGAAACACTTCATGGCAGGGGACCACTCCTCCTGTCTTCTCTACACCCAGACCACCTTTTTCATGTTTCTTTTCTTCTGGTCTCTACCCAGGATATTTCAAGACTCAAACTCACAATTTGGTGGGTGCTGCAGACCGCCCTGTGGCAGAGCCCTTCCATATAAGGGTTGGGAACATCCTGATCTGAGCCTGAGTGAAGAGAAGAGGAAGAAGCTTCTGCATAGATGATCCATAAGATAAGAAACATAGCTCTCTGGGAATCTGGGAGCCAACTGCTGGCCTGAATAGAGCTGCTGCCAATACTGCTCTACATGTCAGTGGAAAACAATGACATTCCCAGATGAGGTACCTGGATCATTTCATCACCACAGCCCACAAAACTCTTGCAAGTTCTTCCACAATCCACTTAGTCTTTGATGATCTCCTGATACAAGAAGACTAATAGTCTATTTTCTGATGTACTTTTGCAGAGCAAAGGGCTGTATTGATGAGAACACTTCAGATTAATCCCAGGAAGGTTATTTGAGGTTTTTCATTTACATTGAAGAACTGAAACACTCTGTTTGACATCAGCCTGCCAAAGGGATCCTTTCTGCAAAATTCAAGACACTGAATTCAAGCCAAGTTCACAGTCTTATCTCAGAACCTGGCAGTGAGACAGAAAAATCTTTTTGGAGGTTGACATGTAGCTATCCTTATGATTAAGATTATCAAGAATATTCACAGCTACTTCTGCAGTGTTTTTACGTACAAACCTTTACTAAGGATGAGAAAATAACAAACACATCCATTTACCTTGGCAAAATGGCACGGATCAACTGCAATTCCATAAGAAAGAGCACACATCCAACCTGTTTCAGTGTGCGAACGCCCCACAGCCTAACCTGTTTCTACTTCTGTAATATAAACTGGGCACACTGAAGGATTTGGATGGGAAGGATTTGGGGCTGGAACTCTTTTCAAACAGAATATTCATTAGAAGGTATCCAAGTAGTCATGTTATTTCCCCATTTGTCATCAAAGTCGTAAGGAAAACTGCCTCATCTGCAACTCTTCATTGTGTTCAAAATTCAGTCAGAGCAAGTTGTACCTTACTTAGCACAGCTCAGCCTCTTTGCGTTTCTTTGAATGAACACTGCCATGAAAACATTTTTAGCAACAATATGGAATATTACTACAGAAGTTGCACCTACTTGATTAAGAAGCAGTGAAAATCTTACTTTTTAACCTAAATCGGTGGCATATAAATTAATGCAGCTTACAGGGCACGCTAAGCAAAATTACTTGTGTTCCTTACATGAATAATCATCAACAGATATTTTTTTCAATCACTTCAGTAAATAACCTTCGGGGAGTTTTGCTGAGAGCCTAATCTGTATTTAATTTAGTAATTTGAAAATAACATGGATGACCTTTGTGAAAAATCTCTTAAAAATGCAGCTGTGTTGTTTACCTTAATAGTTCAACAGCAGCCAAGTGAAGCATTTGCTCTACTCTTGCCTCTTCCTACAAATGACTGAATATATAAATCCAAGATTCTGGATCCAGGCCACTGTAAGCCTAAGCCATTAATTAATTCCTTCTTTACCATTATTATAGACTTGCTGAAAAAAAATCTGTTGCAGGTTTCCCTTAAAAATATCTCAAAGTTGTTTGATCTGATAGCTTTACTAGCATACAACAACATTAAGAAGAAAATGCTGGAAAACTTTAGGTACTACAGAAAAGAAATACCCCTTTTGTTAAATGATGGAGAAAAAAAAAAAATTAAAAGAAGAAACAAAGAGAAAGCTCATCCCACTGCCGTGGATATTTGTAGTAAAGCAACTGCTCCTTTAGCTTAAGCACTGAAATGAATGACTAAATTAGATTCTGAGCTTTCAGAGGCAAGATGCCTTGAGGAGCATAGCAAAAAAACCCACAATATATGTGATGAAAAACAATAGGCCTTGCAAATAAGCCCCCTTCAAAATAATGTAAAAAAGGTGAAGAGAATTTCTGAATATATTTTTCTAAATAAAAAGGAAGGCACACCATTAATATATGCCTCATGATAACTGAAAATGCATCCTGCTACAATGGCTGAATCTCACTGGGGCTGCGTTTAAATTCTGCTAAGCATTAAGAAATGCCTAAATAATGGACAGAGTTCAGGGGCGCATAATACATCTTGTTATAAAGAGCACCTGCCAAAACCATACTGGCCTATATTTAAAAATGTTTTACAATTAAAATACCTAAATCTAGAGGCCATCTGTTTCCTGCCTTTGCCTTCCTCAAGTGCTAGAAGCTTTCCTGTAAACACAGGTGAGTAAAATAAGATGCTGCGTGATGTTAGGGGACTTAAAGATTTGCACAACATTTGAAGTCCTGGCCAGCTGCTTTTCAACTCCCAGCCCTTCAATTAAAACTGATGAGAGAAGCAGTATCCTCTTCCTCTCCCAGTGGCAAGATCCTTACATGGGAATTCCCACACCAGACTGGGACAGCAGCTATTCATCCAGCAGCTTGGATTTGACAGTAACCAGTACCAGATGTTTCAGCCAAGGCACAATAAAATGCAGAGAGAGTAACTGTGGAGAAAATACTCATTTTTCCCCCAGTTTCCTGCAGGTCCCTGGGCAATGTACATATCCTGGGACATACAGCATCCCAAGAAATTGGTCTGTATACTCAGAAATTTGCCAAAAAACTGTTCAGATGATAACTCTGAATTCAGTGCTGACCAGTCAAACAGAAAGGCCATGGACTGTCCTTACTGCAGAACCCCTAAGAGAAGTTAAATCCACATTTTAATTTTAGTCTAATTGTGAAAAGTACAAAAGCTAAAACAATTCTAGGAATTCTAAAAAGTTTTTTCTCTTATAAGAAGACATAAAAATTCTGTTGGGTTAGGATGAGTCTTGAAGGCTGGACACAGACACTGGAAAATACATCTGCAGGCCCAGTCTTTCCCTGATGACATTTGCACACCAAATAATACCAGCCGAGAATCAGGTCCTGTTCACGAAGAAAGTCAGGTGCTCAGTTGTTGGCCCAAGATACCACCTGAACAGCTAGTCTGGTAGTCCAGTGAGATGCAGCTCAGAAAGCTCTGCCTTTGAGTATTCCCCACAGCACACCAGTCTCTGGAAGAGAATCTTCTGCATCAGGAAACCCTTGCTGACAAACATACACCATCTAAAACTCTACTCCCTGAAAAAGATTTTGGACAACTCAAGGCTTAGGGTAAAATGAAAACCATATGACATTTGGGGCTTACCCAGACAAGTGGGCAGGACCAATCCTGTGCTTTTCTGCCCCATGAGGGTAGAGGTGAGGCAGCTCTGACTCAGGAGCTGTGAAGCCACATTCCTGCTGTGCCTCTGCTAATCCCATCAGCCACACAAAGCAGCAATAAGCACATCCTTGGTTTTGCCAGCTGAGATGCATAGAGCACAGCTTTGGCTGTACTGGACCAAGGCAGATACATCTGCAGCAGAGCTGAGTGCAAACAAAGTTAGAACTTTATTTATTTTTTCATTTTCCTCCTGTTTTCCTATTTCTTTGGAGAATCTGCCAATGAATCAAAGTTACAGTTTTGCAGAAACACACAGAAAATTTATTCAATTTGACGGAAGTGTACAAATATTTCTGAAAGACGAAAAGGCATGAAACAGGTCCTGGTTTCTTGCTGCCTACACACAGAAAACCCCAGGAACCTGAAAGCAGAAAGCTACCTGGCTCCTACATGGGAAAGCAGTGGAGTTTCAGAAGGGTTCAGTTAACTAGAAGCCTTCTATTTCCTCCCTTTCTTGTCTTTTGACCAGTGAGATGGTTTCATCTGGTAAATTTTAATGCATAAGGGCACTTACTGAAATGAGATATAATACAATAACAAACGGATTTACTGCATCTCTGCACAGAAACTGGCACTAGTACCATAATGATGATAGGCTTTGGGACATGAACAAACACTTACACTTATGCATAAAAAACATCTTCTGCTGAACAGTTCCTGAGCCAGAGGATAAAGAAAATGACCCAACAGAGAAGTGTACATGGCACATTTCAGCTAAGACTATAACCATCATTCTTAGATTGCTGTCTTCTCATGTTATATCACAACTGTTAGAAGGTTAGTGATACACACTCTCAAATCTCAAATAGCAGGCCTGTCTCTCCTAGTTTGTCCTTTTAAAAAGAGGACTCATGAGAAAATCAACATTAGTTTTCACAATTCCTGGTGGCATCTTTGCAATTCCAAAATGTCTCTCCTGCTACTCACTGCTTCTTGCAAAGCAGTTAAAATTAAATCATAAATTAAAGATTATACAACAAAGGCTTCGAAATAACTTAATTGCTGTATTTATCAAGGGAAAAAATTTACATTTAATATTAAACACTATCCTTAAAGCCAGCTGGTCATACAGAGAGCAGCTACAGATACTTAGAAAAGCAAACATGGTTATATTTCCAAAGTGCTACTGAGATTAGAAGACAAGCCATCAGAGGTAAACAATCTTCTCTTCTACTCTGCCTCCACTTTCTGTGTCCTGCAGGTTCTCAGGCTGATGGCTCAGCACCAGTGTGTCCACTTGTGGCAACTGGATGGATCCCTTGTTTGGAATGCTTGTTTCAGGACCCTGGGTCTGTGATGTGTTCAGATCTGTAACACACAAGAGAAGGACATGAGACCATGCATCTTCTGCCATGCCAATGCCGTCACAAAGGGAGAATTCTGACTTTTTCATTAGCACCATTTTCTAGTTTGTTGCGTCTGTCTAGAAAGGAAAACAGCATTCTAGTACAAGTTATACTACAGTTTGGTGAGAGGTACCTTACACAAGTTTACTGAAATCTGTTCAAGTCTGTCCACTGTCACATGAAGGATGCTCACTGTCATTATTTTTATAATAATAATTTGAAAAAATGAATAGCCATACTTTACTGAACATATGCAATAATGGAAAGGCTTAAATGACATCATAGCTGGGTTGGATGGAAACATAAAGCACATAACCAGTGCCTTTGTTAGTAATAATACAATGGTAGAATTAATACAGTTTTCATCATTACATAAAAATTTATTTGCAAGCCTTCCTTTTACAGATGAAAAAATCAACTGAGCAAACCCAGTTAAAAGTCTACATGGCTGGCACTTGCATTCTGATGTATAAGCATTCTTTTTTCTCTACCAAGTTATTAGTGCTTATTTGCACAAACTACCTACTCTATTCTTGTCTCAATCCTTTAGGTGTGATGTGGAGAGAATACTTGCACCCCAATACTACATTATTTCACAATCTTCATTTGTTATCTTTCCAGTCTTCTCCCACAAATGCAGAGAATCGGGTACTTGTTTTCCAGCACTGAGCAACGGAGACTTTTGTGATGATCTGTGTATGGCTTAAAAAAACCAAAACAACACAACTATGGTTGGGTTTTATCCCTAGCCAGCATTCTGTAGCACTTCCGGCCCTACATCTTAGTAGTTGGCTTTTCTACATTTGTATGTCTTTAAAGTAGTTTTACCATAAAAACAATCTGCATAACAAGGGAACGTGTATCCTCATGCACAGTGATGAGAAAATTTGCAATATTTTTCACTGTAATCTTGGCCTGACCAATCTCTACTATTACATCAGGAGAGTAAAATTTTCATTCTTCTGTCTCAAAAAAGGACTGCAAGAAGAAGGGGAGCTTGGAATCCTTCCCATAGCATGGTAACACCAGAAGCAAGCAAACTCAGAAAGGGGGTCCTTTGAGTCTTGATCATTCATGCAAAGAGCTGAAGATGTCATGCCTGCTCTGGTCCGTACTTCTACTCACATGTATGTGCAATGAAAATCTATTCAAAAGGAGTTATTTGGGGTTTTACACACCATGTCACTCTAACTGGTGGCAATTCAAAATGCCACCTGCCTGCATTTGGCACTCCCCTGACACATGTGGCTTTCACCGGTCTTGTTCACTGATGCAGGAGTTTAAGGCAAAACAAGCTTGCTGGCACCCTGAAAAGCTGAGGCTCCCCAGCTGCTCCCTGCCACGATGTGTGTGGAGCAGTATGAGATGGTTATGTGATGGGCATGTGGGAACACATCCTATCACTGCCTCTGCATTCAGCATCTTCTCCTCTTTGATATTCACACAGCTGTGGGGAGCAAACAGGTTTTGGGGCTTCAGCTCACAGAGTAAGCCACATGTACGTTATAAAGATTGCTGCCAAGACTGCAGGGTCATTGGCAGGGGCAAAGTATTATAAACAAGCAGTGCTTAGTCATAGAGGGATGACACAGGACGTTACCACAATTAATCCCCAAATGTCTTTCTTTTACTGTTTTATATTGAATTTAACAAATTAAGTTTCAGCCTCGATGAAAATTCAGAGCAAGTCTTGGCTGCAGGTGAGTTATTTGCAATATGTAACATAGCAGAACTTAAATCCCTAACTTATTTGAACAGCCTTGATTTTTTTAAAGATGACTTCTTAATTTCTTTATTTTTGATAGTCATATCAGAAAAAGAATGCAATTTGCATCAACAGAAGAAAGCAGGAGTATGTCTGCTTTTCTTTATGAAAGCTGGATACGTTGAGTTTATTTGTTTATTAAAGAGAGCCCTATTAGTGGAAGATCCTCAGCTTCTAAACACTTACATATTTGGGTAATTTTACCCACATTAATAGTCCTTTTTAAGTCCTGTGAGTCTATTCACTTTACCAAAGTTATGCGCATAAGAATACCAGGTACTAAACATTTATTTGAAAGATCTGTTTCCAAAGTTTATGAAGTACATAATTGAAGAAGCCTAATTACAAATTTGAAAAAAAACACAGAAAAGAAAGAGAAGCACCTTACATGCAGTTATTTTCCACCATCAAAACTAAACAGTAATTGCTTCACCAATTAAAACAGTAGCTGTTTCCAAGCCATTTCTCATTACTCATTACCTGTTACAACTCTAAGCAGTAGAGCTGAGCAGTGGAGACCATCCAAGTTCTGGGAAAACAAATCAGATTCTGTCACTATCAAAATTAATGATTTATTACTACTTTAGCTGCCCTTTTTTTTTTTTTTTTTTTTGTTAATTCTGTTGCATCTGGAGAATCTGAACAGCAGAAGAGCATTCAGGAGGTGACAATGCAGCCGCTGCTGGGGTGACAATTGGCTTCAGGCTGGAAAGGTTGTGCTTAATCCAACTGAGGATGGAAGGAGCTGGTTTTGGATGCACTTCAGGTGGCACTCAACACAGACTCTGCCTAATAAAAGTACAATGTGCCTCCAAGGCAATACACTCGCCCTGCCGCTGGGGAGAGCGCCTGCTGTTACTCTGCCCGGTGCCATGCTGGAAGCAGCTGAGCCAGGAGACCAGCTGTTATCACAGGCAGCAGTGTGATGCGGCTCGAGAACAACTGCACATAAAGGGTGTAAGGAGTGACAGAAATTATAATAAAAGTCTCAGATGAAAGAAGAGTAGGGAAAGGGGACTGAACCACCAGCCAGCACTGTTCTTGTAATGTAGAGCACCAACAGCAGCCAAGAAGCCTCCCCTGAGCTCTCTGGTACAGCACGGGGGAAATAAGCTGTCCTAGTCACCAAGTAGGAGAATGCTGAGAGAAATTCTCCTCTTTAAATGCTCTTCTGAAACAGGGAAGAAACTTCCAAAACTAGACTTGAAAACATCAGCTGCTCTTTTCTAGAGAACTCTGGGAACTGAGGATGTTTAATAAAAATGCAAACCAAACTGATTATCTGTGCAGACATCAAGGCTGCTACTGGAAAAATGACAACCAGAAAGCTCTCCTGGGCTCCCCAGGCAGCTGGAGCATCCAGGGGAACTCCACAGACCCTCTCCAGGCGCATTCTCTGCTGCACTGCGACAGATAGTCAGAATTCACTATGGATCAAGAGTCAGGTAAGTAAGGACCTTTTTGAGCCTCCTTAAACATCACTGTAATTCACCTGTCGACATCAGCCAAAAAATGAGTTTTGTATTACTCCCTTTCTTTACATTCAGCATTTACTTATCCTTTCTTCTGCTCCCTTCCAAGGTGCCAAGGGATGCTCCCTCTGGTAAGCTGTGTTTAGCTCAACAGCGCGCCCACCAGACCAGCACCCACATTACCAGTGCCCGGAAAAAGCTCTCCCACAGCCCCTACCCGTACCCTTCCCACCTGGGCCGGGCTCTGCCTGCTGTCTGGCTCCCACAGCCTTGCACAGAAAGGACAAGCGAAAGAATAAGACACAGCCCTTCTCTTGCTCATTTACACTCACTTTTTTTTTCCTTCGTATTTATGTAAGTGCAGGAAATATACCCTGATTTCCAAAGCTTTAATGAAACTGATCTGTAGCTGAGACACTTCCACAGGGTCTACTCTGAGACTCACAGCAATCTACTTCCTCCCACTTTTACACCAGCCAAGGGCTGTTGGTATCTCTCTGCATCCTGGACCCTGGAGTTTATGGGCAAACTGAAGCCCCCTTTAACTGTTTCTCACTTATGTAAAATATTTTTCTCCTATGACACTCCAGGTAACTCTTTCCTAAAGAGCAAGCCAGATCCGCAGCTGCACCATGGGTACCCCTAGACAAAAGTGAACAGTAAATCAGAGAAATACATTCTTTCAATGTTGGGCTGATCAAACACCCCAGAAAGAGAGATGTGCTTGAGGCTGGAGACCAAATATTAGGTAATCTGTGATATTAGGTAATATTAGGTAGTCAGCACTTCAACATTTTGGTCACATGTAGTCCAGCAGTGCCACATCACAGCACAGAATACCCCGAAAGTACAGCTTTTTGTCCTTTTTATCTCAGCCAAGACCATCTCATTAAATATACTCCAGGCATTCCCTGTGGTGTACCTCACCAATTTTCTCAAAAGGAGTCAGAAGCTGTTTCTAACAAATTCTGAAAACAATCACAAATTGTCTAATTCACACAGCTACCGCCAAATCCAACATTAAAAACAAATCCAATTTTTTCCCCATTTTCCATGAGTTTAGGTCTGGTATCATGAGGACAACCATGAGGAAACTGCAGACACTCTTTCCATGCTTTTCTTAGACAACCTCAATATAACAATAATGACAGTTCTCTAAATGGATTCAGGATCCAAACTCTGAGAAATGACAGCTCCTGGCTAAAAACATCCTACTGTTGTATGGGAAAGGGGGAAAAAAGCATTCTGCATCCTAACTACCATACCCTACCTTTTCCATAGCACTGAGACAGGTTAGTGGTGTCTCACAAACTGCTGAGAAGGTGAAGGACAAAGCAATTGTATTTGCAGGAATCTGAAATCAATACATATCAAAACAAACACAGCCCATGTTCCTGGGGGGGGGGGGGAGGGGCGGGGGATACAAAAGCCAAGTAAACAACTCATTAGTCACACTGATTCTCACCTCCTGTCTGTTGTCATAGGATGTAAGCACTTTCACATCAAATAAATGCCACAGATTTTCTCCTTCACCCCCTTCACCCCTCCTCTCTCTCTCCCAAGATCAGAGCTCTTCACGTAAGCCTGGAGTGCTCACAGTGATGATTATGGGAAGGACAGGAGGACATTATCAAGGCAAGAAACACTCCAGGCAAAAAAAAACTCTCTCGAGCCTCTGTGTTTTGAATAGAAAGCCCTCAGTTTTCCTCCTTCAGCTCTGACTCT